ACCCCCACCCCCACCTTCCACCACCACCACCACCACTACCTCCTACAGGAGCTTTCCTGCTAAAAGAGGTGGGGGTCACTCCGTGTGCGTGTGCATGCGCAAGATCTGGTCTGGTGTCAGCTGCCACTTTATTTATACCAATAGAATTCCATATTATCCGCTGTTGAAGAAACTGCTCTGGAGTTCATCATTCAAAGCTCCTGTCTGCTGTCCTGAGGGAAATTATTTCCTCCTGCCAAGTGAAGTGTGTTGTGACCTCCCCAGAAGCAGTGGGACATTGGCAGCAGGGCAGATGGGTATGACAGAGGGGAACAAAGTGATTAGCAAACGGGGGCCCCGGTATGTGAACGGTAGTTAAAAATAACCTCCCTAGCCCAATTTGAAGATAACATGCAGCTCGGGCACTTAAGCCCCTTCACTGACTTTCCCCCATGATGATTTAATTGATCTCAAAATTGGTGAGCAAGTCAAAATCCTGTCATCCAGTGTCCATGTTTACAGTGAGTTCTGGAAGTATAAAGAATCACCAGACTGGATGACTGGAAGTCAAATTTAAAAAAAAAAAACAGAAAAGGTGTAGACAGATGAAAAAAAAATCAGAGGGTAAGGTGAGCTCTTCTGAATGATGCATGACACATGATGAAGGAGAAACAGATGATTAGATGAGAGGGTTCGCTGGCAAAGCCCCGGCCTGTGCGCCAGTATGTGACAGTGATCAGCTGTTCCCGCAAAAGAGGAACACAAGGATTATGATTTGTGTCTTTACCATCGTGTCCGGTGCGAGCGACCAAGAATTCACTCAGCAACAAAAGTCATCCGATATTCCAAGCGCTCAGATGTAACTAGCAAGAACGTGGCACATCGCTGGCATTAGTGGAAATGTTGCATTTGTGATACACCCTGGCTCGGCGCCATGGGAAATATTGAACAACTGTCGAATTTAGACAACATCCTGTGGGGTGAAAAAAAAAAAACGGGAGCCACAAAGATGCAGCCAGGTTGCTATTTGTGGACGGCAAGTGCCTCGAAAATAGCGAGAGCGTTAGGTTTCAATATAAGCCCCTCTCTCTGAGCTTGAGCTTTCTGTGAATGAGGCCCGGGTTCCTATCACACCCAACCCCGGCGCTGATTTTAGAACACAGGTGTTGACCTTAGTGGAGCAGCTTGTGCTTGCTGCAGAGGAAAATGAACCCCCTGAGCCTGGGCCTGTTTGCCTCTACACTGCTGGTGATCAGTGCGTGTAGATGCTTCAGCGCTGTCACACCTTCAGACCTGTCATTCTATACGGCAGCACGTATCCTGAGAAAAGACATATTCTTCCAGGCTTTGGATTTTTGCCTCCTAAAGTGGCTCATTTCACATCGAGTGCTTGCGTTCTAAGAGTCATGGTGGCAGAATGGTCATCTTGTGGCCACTGAAGAATTTATTGCTTTCTTTTTATGATGCCACAGGAGCACCTATATATCCTACTGGCCATGCTTCGTGGACAGAGGTTTACTTTATAGTTTGTCAAAGCATTTGCCACATTTGGTGCACTGTGAAGCATACAGGCTTCTTATCATGTGATGTCTCCCAAAGGGACCTGTTTCAGTTGCCCGAATCACCGCATAAAGGGGCCTGAAATGTTATTTTGTGAACTTGATAAGCACATACGTCACTTTTTCCTCCCCGGTAAACGATGCAATGAAGCTAAAGTGAATCAAAGAAGCCAAAGAGGGCTGAAACTCAACCTTGGCTTCGGCTGTGACTCACGGCCTGCCGTAACTGCTGCTCTGACTGTACCCCCAGACCCAGTAAAACACGCCCCTCTTGCAGTTGCTTCCTTGTTTCTCCCTGTATCCGCTTTTCTTTTCTTTTTTCTTTCCCTTTCTTTTTTTTTTTATCCAAAAAGGAGCCATTGACATTCGGCGTAAAATAGAGGCAGGGTGGGGTGGGGGGGGGCCTGAACAGAGGAACGGCAGGGGTGTAGGATGTCTCGAGCCCAGTGTGAACAGCTGAGAGGTGTGATTTCACAGGCTGGCTCCCCTCTGTCAAAGCGCTGATTGGGCCGGACAGGAGGCGCAGGAGAGGCCCGGGCTTCTAAAGGACACCAACAGGTGGGAGGCCGCATTGGAGGGGGCCGCTCCTGGAGCCATAGAAAAGGCCGATCTGCAAGGCCTGCTGTGGGCACAATCCACTGACCAGATACAGAGGAGGATGGGTGATCACAGGAGAGCTGAGGGTGAAGCCGGGGAGTGGTTCTCAGAAAGCGGAGGGTTAGTTTCATGAGCTTGGCTTTAAAGGGTGGATAAAAGGCAGAGGACAACTTCAGGGTTGAGAAGTAAGGTTGGTCTGAGTTTTGTCTGTTTTTGAATCACTCCTGTGATTTCTCCTTCTAAAACTTTAGTTCACAGCGCAGGAAGAGACAAAGTCATATGTCAGGCAACAGAATCTTCGGGTTACTGTGCTTGTGTGGTTTCAGCTTCACTTCAGCACAATATGAGTAAAAATCTGGTATCAAACCAGCTTTCTCTCACTTTTACTGAAGACACAGCACAACATGGCAGCCAGTTGTGTCAGGTGAAGGGAAGCTGAGATGTGATGCAGGAAAGAATCAGGAAATCTGGTGCCTCTCAGAGGAGTCGTCCTAGTCTAATTACAGTAGATGAGACAGACTTTCTGGTGGCCATTTGGTTCAGAAGTGTTTAGATTTATCAAGGAAGTCACCACTTGTGAAGGAGAGGTGGACTGAGGCCTTCATCTTAACACCATTTAATCACCGTGAGAAAACCACAAGAGGAGGCACAAGGAGACCAGACCAAGGTGAGTAAAACACATTTTTTTAAAAATCAGCTCAAGCTATTTTAATAAGGGGTTGCAATTAAAATGAATTGAATTTTTTCCGCTCTTAAGGATCACTTGACACAACTGTCGGCATCACGTTGACTTGGCATGGCACGATGTTTGGGAAATAAAAAAAGGACGATGACCTTTGTTTGATGGGAGTCGGTGTTTGCCTCACCCGCCTGAGTTATTTAAACTCATTTCAGCAGCATCACACTGGCATTATCCATCAAGTATCTTCCAGTATGATCAGTCCCGTCATCTGTCAGTGTCAGAAAATTCACTTTTTACGTGTCTAATAAAACAATGGTCAGGTTTAACCCATACAAATTGCTTCTAGCTTCATGGAGATGATAGAAGCCACCATTCTGTGCCTCTTACGCTCCATTTTTCCTTTATTCACTCACTCACTCTGTCACAGTTAACTGCTGTTAAGCCGGTTCTTCCCGCTACTCTTCACGCGTGGCTATGAAAGGGTGCTTTGTGTCTCGAGGAGCAGCGAATCCAGTTGTTGTCCCTTGTGAGCACATGCTTCCTTATATCCCCATATTAATACGCCACTTATGGAATGTAAGGAAGTGTGTGGTTTCAAGGGGACCTGAGCATCGACGTCGACATTTCTCATATTGTCCTTTCATTTGTCTTCATTCAGAAAATTGTGTGAGGGTGTCTGTCTACTTTATATGTGTGTGTGTGTGTGTGTGTGTGTGTGTGTGTGTGTGTGTGTGTGTGTGTTGTGTAAAGAGCTATACAAATACAGGCCATTTACCATTTGGGGGGGTGTCAGAGTTCATGACCATGTGTGTGTGTGTGTGTGGCAGGACAACAGGTGAAAGGCCTGTTCCCTCTCCTTCAGCTCAGACACGTGTGCAGTTAGCATTACTCCCAGGGCCGCTGATCGGGTCTCAGGGACTTCTTGAAAAATTCCTGCCCTGCCCCAACTGCTGACAGTCAAGGAGGATTGACAGAGCACAGCTGTCACCCATTATAGCAACCGCAGAGCTCTCAAAAAGGGAAGAGGGGAGGGAAGGGCAGAGATGCAGGAGCTGTCACTGAGGGTGAAAGTTCACTGCCGTGGGCTGGATTTGGAAGGAAACGGAGAGATGTCACCGGCTGTCAGAGTTCTCAAGCCTCTAAATAGGAACTATTTGCTTGGTAACACGGAGGCACTTGTTCCTGTGCTGTAACTTCTCCTTTTCTCTCTCTCTGTGTTCCATCAGGTAAGACTGAAGAGGATTCAGCAGCCCTTACCGCCTGCAGATGATGTCCATCTCCTACCGTATTTCGTCTTTCTCATGTCCCTCTTTTTCCGTGACCTTTACCCCTGTAACCTTTCCTCTTGACTGCCCCTCCCCTCCTGCTCTGCCTCTTGCTCTGCCACTCGCAGCTGAAGCAACACGCCTTGCTGTGGCTGGTCAAACGGAACCAAGTCAGGTGTTTCTGTGAGGTTTGGTCCCCTTCAACCAGCTACTGCGCCGTGAATTCAGTCAGCACACACCGGCTGGGAGTCAAACACGCAGTGACGTTGTGGTGTAGCGCTGCTTAATCTGGAGGTGGTGAATAGAATAGATTTTACAGCACAGATGCAACGTGAATCTTCTTTAGGAGCACTATATTGATTGTTCATGGTAATATGTGACTAGAAACCAAATAAAAGATCACTGACGATGTACAGTGTTGAATTCCTGTTCTTCTGATTCACGTTCAGTCCATTGTGTACTCGAGGAAAAACACAACGACACATTAAGTCTAGCAGTTGGGTCCACCTTATTCTGCAGAATAGACTCTGACCCAGTATGAGATGATATAAATATGAGGCCTAAAATGGCAGCAAAGTATAACTTAGTAAATTATTTAAACAGAAAAAGAGCGCAGGTGTAGCTGTGCAGGGATAGACACTGTAGAATAGATGGGAAAAGCTAATATTACAGTCCGGGCCAGAGAATTCAGTACCATGGATAGCACGCATGATGTATATATACAGTAATATGCTGTTTCTAGCTAGGTTGCCTTCTGTGTGGGTGTGGAGTGTACACATGCCTGCAGACTATTTACAAACAGGCTGTGCAGAGGCAAGCCAACAATCTAACAACCCTGCGCTATATGAGCTACACACCAAGTACCACTCGGAGGTTTAGAATATCACTGTGCTGCCTGACTTGAGCTAGAATAAATCTCTTTTATCCCAACTTCAAGCTCAGTTTTAAATGATGAGGTAGGGATGTATCAGTAAAAAATGACAGATCTTTTTTCTTTTAGTGTTTGCATGAATTTTACAGTTATTTTGCACTCTACTGTATAGGTCTATAAATAGCACATATGCTTATGTCTGTGTATTTTTGTTCTTGTTTCACTCATATTTCATGTGTGTTTAAACATTTTTTATAAATACAGCCTGGGTGGAAACCTGATCCAAATTTCCTACAATGTGGGACAATAAAATCTGTCTTCAGTCTATTTTGTGATGGAGGATAATATACACACAAAAATGACACTCCAGCTGTCTCCATGAAAATAAACTTCCTCTAAGCATGCAGATGTAATGGGGATGCAAATAAGCATACAAAGAACAGCGCTGCACATCCCTTACCAACTTTTTCACTTCAAACCTTTTGTCAAAACCAGCAAAATCTGCTGCTGTTATTGAAATCACTGACCAAAAGCCAGGATGCTGAAGTTGTAATTCACTGGATCATAATATAGACAGTAAACTGATATTTAACATCAGCATTTTAATCAGGAATAGACAGGCAATCTGTCCAGGGTTTACATATCTCCTACCCAATGGATGGATGGATGGATGGATGGATTTTCATTATGAACCTTTGCCCTTATCATTACAGCAAAGTCACCAAAATAACATTCCTAATCAGTCTGGTTGTAGTTTGTAGTTCATTTCACCCTGTTCCTTGTTAGACAAAGGAGCATATACCAGTTCTGTTGGTGGGTTAAGGACCTTCCACAACCTCGTCCAGTTCTCCTAGAGTGACTGCCTGTCTCTTGGAATCTCTTCCTTGCTGTTGAGACTGTGTAAGGAGACACATCAAGCCTTCTGGCAATGTGACATTTCAATGCCAGAATTGGAAAAAAGGTTAGTGGCCTCCATCTGTAAAATAATTAGTGTTATGGGTGTGTCTCATTGTTTTCTCTCTAGTGCACCTGTTGTGAATTTATTCACACCAAAACAGATAAAACTGATCAACAACCCCCTCTGCTACTTAACTGACCAGATCAATATTCCAATATTCACTTCAATATTCAATATTCCCTCTATGTATTGTACAGTGATTCCCTCTACTGTGCAATCACTGTGCAGTACTTAATTCTACGTGCAGTAACCAAAACTGTATATACATAACACTATTTATTTATTTCCCCTTGTAATGTTCATATGTATAATACTCAAAAGGTTTTTTTGTTTAAAGAAATAAGGGAATGCTCAAGACTTTTTCACAGTAGGCTACTGAATGATGTAGGAAGTTTGATAGTTTTAGATTTTTTTTTTTTGTTGATGTTGCAAGTTCGGCCTTTAGAATCACATCTAAACATAAAATAAATAACAGTATGTCACTGAGTGAGCCTTAATAACACCCATTAAACATTAATACTATTTGGAAAATAGTATTAATGTTTAATGGGCATAAGGCAAAGATTAAAATATCAATACTACAGTCTAAATATCAGGAGAGCAAATCAATATGCTTTCAATATGCTTAATATTAATGTGTACATACTCATCAACATACAACGTCATCCACCAGGGGGCGATATACGTTTCTATGGTAGTAGTTTCTACAGCAGAAGAGGAGGTGAAGCAGCATCGTAAACATGGCTGACAGTGGAGTGATAGGTGGGTTTCAGAGTGTGTAAATAGCTGTAGTTCATTTGGTTTTTCCTTTTGGTTCTTATTCTTTAGTTGCAGGAGTTACGAAGAAGTATCTCATACTCACAGCGCTTATTATGTAGACTTTGTTATTAGCTGGTAGCAAAGTTAATTTCCCAGATGCTAGACCTGCTAACGTTAGCGTCGAGAGCATGTAAACGGTACTCATGCCGTAGACAGAGAATGTATTGCATCATCTTTTCGAGTAGTTTTAAAATGTACAATACTCATGTTTCTAGTTGTCACTGTGTTGTGACGATGATGCACTACACTTGTTTTGTTACTGATTTCGTTGACACGGTGCAAACTAAAAGCAGCTAACAGACTCGACCTTAATATCACCTCCTCTTGTGGAAAAAGTAACAGAAGTACGTTATAATGCTAAATAATCTAATATTATCATCCTCTGTTGCTCGTCTTACAGATGGACCCGGAAGGAAAGATGAAATCGAACGCGCAAAGGTTAGTCTAGGTGTTTTCTTGAAATTTATTACAGCCTTTTGTGTGGATAAATGCTTTCCTTAAGAGTTAGGTTTTTCTTGACGCCTCTTCCTGTCACGTGACAGAGTGAAGGCAAAGACCTAACCAAGGAGGAAAAGCAACGGCTGAGGAAAGAGAAGAAACAGCAGAAAAAAATCAAAGAGAAAAAAGATGACAAGGCATCACAGGAAAATGAGAAGGAGAAGAAGCCGGTCACTTCAGCAGCTCCAGCATCCCAGCCCCCGACACAACCCACAGTGCAGAAAGGTGCCTCCCATTTAGGCAGCAGCAAGTGTTGTTGTATCTGGGTGCACAGTGTGATTCATTCTTTATCCTAACATCTGTGTCTGTTATGGTCTTTGTCAGCTCCTTCAGCAGTGCCTGCTACTGCACCTGTTTCTGTGCCTGCCTCCGAGGCTTCTGTGCCGGCGGACAAGCCAACAAAGACTAAAGCGGAGCTGAAAGCTGAGAGGAGAGCTCGGCAAGAGGCTGAGAGGGCCAGCAAACAGAGCAAGAAGGGAGAGACAGGACAGCAGGCAGCCACGAGCAAACCAAAAGCTCCGCCCAGTGATCTGCAGCCAGGTACTGCTGTTGCACCTAACATTTGCGCGTTCAGTTTTATCTTTTGGATAATCTAACTCGAAATAATCAAGTCAGAACAACAGACAGCTACCTGTAGAACTTTGAGAAGCTGTTTATGCCAACACAGAAGCTGGCTGTGATAAATACAGACTAACAGTGATCAGTGATTGTTGTAGGGTCAAACGTTGGCCTCATTATTGGCTGCAGGGAAATATGCTGAAACAAGACTGACTGGTGGTAACTTCACCAACAAGGTTTTGGTGCCAGTGAAGTGTTAAATGTAAAGGTCAAGGTCATGTGATATCGGTGGCAATGGTAATAAGTGTATCAGCAGTAGAGCAACTGATTTTGGAAGGTGAACCTGTACTGAAATATGGGAAAATATGAAGACGTTAAACATGTAATACAGACTGAAAGCAATACAGCTGCTGCAGACAAACCATCATTATGAGTGTGTAAGAGGGGAAAATGACTGTAACATAATAATATATTAAAAGTGTAAGCTTTTAAGTGCTTTGGTCAGTAAGGCTAGACAAGACTTGATAAAGTTTAGCCTATTTGAAGCCTGGGAAGAACTCAGCAAGTTAACAGAATTATCAATATGAGAGCTCTTTCATTAACACATGGGTAAAGAGTAAAGAATAAATGTAAACACAGAATTTGAATGTAGGCTTTAGGCTACATCCACACGTATACAGGTATTTTTGAAAACGCAGATTTTTCTATGCGTTTGCACCTTTCGTCCACTCGTAAACAGCGTTTTCATTCACTGAAAATGGAGATTTTTAAAAACTCCTGCCAGGGTGGAGATTTTCGAAAACTCAGTTTTTGCGTTTTTGCGTGGATGAGGAAAACGGAGATTGAGTCACGCAACGTCAAAGGTGTTCGCCGTTTTTGCCGTGACGCTGTGTGCCACGTTATTGTTTACATGAGATGAATTTCTACAATGCCGGATATAGACAAAATACTGTTACTGTTAATCTTACTATCTGCAGTTTTTACATGCTTACATCCTGTTTACTCTTTCCCTCCCAGGCTTCTAGATGTCTAATTGGCCAACATTTCTACACGGCTAGGATTTGGCATGTTCTTCACAACGTTTGACTGCGTTTTGGGCGTTTACATGTGAACGGAGATATTTTTTAAAACTGCACGTGTGGACGGGATTTTTTTTTAAAAACGGAAAATCTCCGTTTTCAAAAATACCTGTGTACGTGTGGATGTAGCCTTAGTCTTTGTTCAAATTTGACAGTGCAGATACCTGGATAACATAAAATCCTGCTTCGCAGTACAGGCCTCAGAGCTATTTAGCATCTCCCAAACGACCAGCAGAATTTTTTGGCTCGTCAGCACACTGGAGAATATTAACACTCTTTGCATTTTCAGTGGTGAAGAGGCTCCCAGAACACATTCAAGTGGACAACCCAGACGTTTTAAAGAAACTTGCCAAGAAGTTGGAAAGGCAACAGGTCAGTATAGCTGTGAGGAACTTCTGAAGACCCTTAAAAATGATTCAAGACACACTGAATACACACGATACATAGTGATTCTAAGTAACCTTTTAATTTGTTGTAAGGATGGATAGATTCATCGGGAAATGTTTGACTTATTTTATGAAAATGGCTTGATCTTGGATGCTTCAAGTAACTATTTTTGTTTGAATCTAACATACTGTATTGTAAACCAATTCAGTTGATGGAAAAAAAACACTGCTGGTATGTTTACAACATGTTATATTGGACAGAAGTGTGACATTTCCTGCAGGTGCATGGTTCATTTTTGGAAATCTAAGCTTTTACTAGTTAAATCTGAGACATTCTCTAATTAAACAAAAGTCAGTCAGTTGTGTACATAAATAGAATTCCTGTTATTTGTACAGTAACTCCAAAATAAAGTAACTTTATTTGGTTGAGTTATTGCAGCCAATAACCAGCAGTTGTGATTGCATGTGACTGTATCCAACATTTCTTTCAGACACCAGAGCACTATGCTGCTAAAAAGGTATAAGCCATCGGCGTCTGGCTTTACAGAATGTGTGCCTTTAACCTTTTTGGTTCTGTTTCAGTTGCTAACCTGTTATCTTAATCCGGTTTAACCCATTATTGTTGGTTGTTACAAACTTAATGGTAGAGATGTAAAAACATCTCTTCCATGTAGACAGCTGTTAAGTTGGCAAGTAGGTTTTACAGTATGTGTGTTGTTTGCTGTGGTCACCGAAACACCAGGCTGTCTGTTGCTTGCTGCTGTTCTGTTAGTCATAATTTATTATAACAGTAATTTTTAATTTGGTCAGTTTTCTTTCTATTAGGTCTACACAGAATTCAAAGTTTAATGTAACTCTTAATGAGCACAGTCTACAGACTCCCTGTTTTCACCTCATTAACTCAGCTGTAATCTCTGACCTGGTGTACATTTTGTGCATTTCAGATCCCGCTGCGCTCAGATTATGGCTACAAAGTCAGCCTGTTTTCTCATCTCCACCAGTACAGTCGCAAAGCTCCTCTAACACAGCAACTCAGGTAAACTGACTTTAAATTGTATGTTACAGTGTGTTGTTTATGTCATGTTATAAGATGTAACCTCTTAAGATTTCCTTAAATCTCATTAACGGACCCTTTTGTGGTTTGCAGCATTCCTTCCACAGTGATTCATCCCGCTATTGTCAGGCTGGGTTTGCAGTATTCACACGGCATTGTTGCAGGATCCAATGCTCGCTCTGTCGCCCTGCTGCATGCTTTCAAACAGGTACAGTCCCAACATAGACCATTCATTCTTCAAACCCCACTGTTCCCTCTCTCATGGGCAAGGCTAAGGCTGACACAGTGACCGTTTGACTGCAGTCAGTTACAAAGAAGTCGGCCAGTATTGGAGAGGGTCCATGTTTTTACTTATCAGGAGACATTGTAAAAGTGAATCCGGTCATTAAAATCAGGTAAATACAATCTCAAATGAACTACAGAACATGACATATTGCAGTGTCATTATTTAATGAAGTCAAAATCCAGAAGCACTGTGTGAAAAACTGAGTGTACCATGACTGCATCCATTGAAAATACAAGGGCAAGTAGTAGCCAGGTGCTGGTAATCAGATATACCTTATTAAGTGATCATCAGTAGGTGTGAGCATCTTTATAAAAGTGGAAGGTTTGACAGTTTGTTGTTCTGAGGCATTCAGGTGTGTGTAAACACAGTGCCAAGGAAGAAAGAAATCAGCAACGATTTCAAAGAATCAACTGTCAATCTGTGAAGGATTATAAGACTAAGTCCATCATTACACAGTGAGAAAGATTATTCACAAAATTCCTGCCGACCTTCCCATGAATGGACATCCTAGCAAATTCACATCAAGTTGAGAGCATGTAATGCTCAGAGAAGCTGCAAAAAAAAAATTTCAAGGACTAGATCTCAGACTCTACACGCCTCAGTGAGTTCATGACAGTACAGTTAGAAAAACACTGAACAAGTATGGTTTGTTTGGAAGTGTTTACATAGGGAAAGCTTATTCTTTCTAAAAAGAATATGGTGGTATAGCTTAGCTTTTCAAAGTTGCATCTGGGCTTGTTTTACAGCCACAGGACCTGGGCACTTTGCAGTCACTGAGTTTACTACGAGCTCCTATGTATATAAAAGTATTGTAAAGTCAATGTGAGGCCATCTGTCTGACACCTAAAAGTCTGGCCTTAATTGGGTCATGCAACAGGACAACGATCGCAAGCACAGCCGCAAATCTACAACAGAATGACTGGGGGGGAAAAAAGAATGTTGTAATGGCCCAGTCAAAGTCCAGTGTTTCATTTTTCCCTTCAGGTAATAAGGGATTACACTACACCTCAAAATGAAGAGCTATCAAGAGACTTGGTCAACAAGCTAAAACCTTATATCAGGTAAAGTAAAAAAATACTGATTTTAGTCATTCATCATTATTTCCTACACTACTGACACGTTTTTGGTTTAACACATGAAATCATTCCTTTTGCTTTGTTTTTATTTCAGTTTTCTGAATCAGTGTCGCCCTCTGTCAGCCAGCATGGGTAATGCAATCAAATACATCAAGAAGGAGATCTCTAATATTCCTAGTAACTGTAAAGAAGACGAGGTTAGTGACACTCGTGTATTTGCAATCACATAATCTGTTTAAGTAGTGAGACTTTTAGCACACTGTGTGGTTCATTTTAAGTTTCCGATACTTGAGAACTCATTCACTTCCTTTTGTTTTTAGGCAAAGAACAAACTGCTCAACTGTATCGAGTCCTATATTAATGAGAAGATTATTCTCGCTGGTGTAGCTATTGCCAAGTGCGCCATAGAAAAACAAAAGATCAGTGATGGAGATGTGATCCTAGTTTATGGATGGTAAGTCTCTAAAAGCTGCGTGCATGTACTTGGTTTCAGCTGTTAAATCTGTTCTTTATTAGCGAGCATTGCTTAATTGTTTATTCTTAACGCTTTCTCTTCCCTGTTTTGGTTAGATGCAACCTTCCTTCCGCATTTTTGTCCTGACATTAAATGTTCCTCTCTCCTCCCTGACAGCTCGTCACTGGTCAACCACATCCTTTGCAAGGCCTTTGAGAAGAGCAGAAAATTCCGTGTTATTGTTGTGGACAGCAGGCCTCGGCTAGAGGGCAAGGAGGCCCTGAGGCGCCTGGTCCAGAAAGGCATCAGCTGCACCTATGTTCTTATCTCTGCTGTCTCTTACATCCTTCCAGAGGTAATCATGGAGCTACACTAGAGTAAACCCCAAAATATTTGGTTCTAAGCACAATGAGTTTCTTTATTCTCTTCTAGGTGTCAAAAGTTTTCCTTGGTGCTCATGCTCTGCTGGCTAATGGTTACGTCATGTCTCGAGTGGGGACATCACAGATAGCTCTGGTGGCCAAAGCTTTTAATGTGCCTGTGCTGGTGTGTTGTGAGACCTACAAGTTCTGCGACAGGGTGCAGACAGACTCTTTTGTATCTAATGAACTCGGTATGGAAAGTGTTCAGTTGCTACATAAATGTCTGCGAGCCTTTCAGCTCAATTTGTCCTTTTGCTCAACTTTATTTCCATACACCAGTTTATCCTCATCTTTGCTTTCCAGATGACCCCGACGACCTCATTGTAACCCGTAAAGGAACGACTCCGCTGGAGGGATGGGAGAACGAGTCCTCTCTCGGCCTTCTTAACCTGGTCTACGACGTGACGCCGCCTGATTTCGTAGATCTAGTCATCACAGAGCTCGGGATGATCCCGTGTACCTCTGTCCCCGTGGTGCTGCGAGTCAAAAACGTGGACCAGTGAACAACTCAGTTTGTGTGCACCAGAGCTTGTACACACACAACAAATTGTGCTTTTAGCATGCAATAAATATATATCTGAAGTGACATATGCTTTTTAAATTGAGTCCATGTGTGTTTTTATGGTAGTATTGGATGAATGGAAATATATTTCCTGGCCTAATGTGACAAGGCTGTTCTGTTTATTAAAAAAAAAAAAAAGTAGTGCTAGATGTTATAAGACCCACTGTTTATTAGAAACAGAACATTTAATTGTCAATACAATCCCACTGAGCGTCACAACACTAGTTATTAACCATGGCATGCAATTTGAAACAAGACAGAAATTTTTCCTAATTACAGTTGGAGTTGAAGCATCAGATAAATGTTATGGCTCCCATAAAGTTAGGTTTACTGACAAAAGAAAAGTAAGACATTAGCCAGGTACTACAGTTTTTGGTAAAGCAGCTAGTTTATGTTCTCACTGCTCATATATCGTCACCAAGTTCAGTTAAAACCAGGAGAAATATTCTGCATGCTGTAGATGCACTCTCTCCTTACAAGAATTATTTATTAGTTGCAATATTTAGTCAGTGCATTAACATTCAGACAACTTATTTAGCCAGAAGCAATGTATTGAACATAGAGCAACTAGAGCTGCCCTTCAACACTGAATTTTCCCAATGGGAGAACACAACATTTTAACAGCTAGAAAATCAGTTAATGTACAATTAAATCCTGTATATGCATAATGTAAACATGATACTCGAAGCATAGAAACAGATATCCTGTTTTAAAGTCTTCAGTAGAACCCTGAATCTCACTGGAGAAGAGTATCAAAGGAGGTTACCCTTGAATCTCAAGACATTTAGCACATGTGGCCTATAAACAAAATGTGGCTGTAACAGACAAGTATCTTCCACATTTTGTGTTTTGTCTGAAATTGAAATTAAAGATGTAAATAAAAACATCACACTTCAAAAAGAGGTTTGTTGCAAAAGAAAGGATTTTGTGTCGCTCAACTGCATAGAAAAAAAAAAAGAATTTAACCTATTGGACTATTAAAATAATTTTTAAAGATGTCAAATAAGCTTGCACCCTTAATTATTACTGTTAAAATTTATATCAAAACAAACTTAGTCTTTGCTGTCAGTAAAGTGGAAATTCAGCACGTCTGCCCAGACAGGTTTTAGGACTGAAGACAGTGTTTGTGTAAGTGCACATAGTTTCTGAAGGATTTTGTAAAACACAGTGTTTTCCCTTCTATCACATGGTGTCAGTCAAATACATTTACAAATATGATTGATGTGCTAATAGTGGTCATTCCTGACAAAAATATTTGAAAGGCGGAGCAAATCTTTTCTTTAAAATTGCACTGAAACATCTTTGAGGTCAAACGTGTAAATTTCCTTGAAACAAAAAATACAACCGACCTCAAAAAGGTGTAAAATGAATAAAAACACATTTAAAAGAAGCCCTGTAAAAGTCCCCTCAGACTTTGTCAGCATTTTCCCCTATCAGTATCTTCCCTTTAAGAACAGTCAGTTTGAGATTAAAACCAGCTGACTAAGGTTCAGCTTTAGAGTGATTTGGCTTTACGTCTCTGGGTGGCCCACAGAAGAACCGAGATCACAACTGTAGAAGCTGCAAGAGGTCCAAAGACTTGCAGAGCTGGGAACTCCCCCTATGGACAGTTTTAACAAATGCACAACTTTAAATAATCGAAAAGCTTAGCATCAAAAGGTGATTTGCATAAAGCTGCTTGCAGAACCAACCTCTCGAAGACACTTGTATCCACGGAAGTTTTCAGCGCAGCTGCACTCAAAGAAGCCTGGGCCGAAGGGGGCACAGAGGGAGTTCTCTGGACAGTTCATTGCTGTGGATTACCAACAAGTATGAATAGATGTCACGTGTAACATATATAACTGTAGTTTTAGATGGCATGTGTCACAGCAAAAGTTAGGAACTTACACAGTTGTCCAGTCTCGTTGCATATATTCCTTTGGCCTTCACAATGGCGATTTCCCTCTTTGATTTTAACCTTTTCCCAAGATGTGTTGCTTCCCGGACAATCTATATTTTGTGGTAAAATCCTACAGAGAAATTAAGTTAGAAAAAAAAAAATCTCAATCTAATACTGAGGAGAATCTGTCATAATTTGGGTAAAATACTTACATGTAGTTTAACTTATTAAATCCTTGAAAAGCTGTATCACTGATGTTGACAAGGGGATTGAACGAGAGGTCTCTGTAATATAAACATTTATAGGATGCATTTAAAAGAGCGACCACATAGATAAAAACACTAGCACTTTCTTTGTACAACTATCAGTCATCCAGTCACACTGCACTTGTATCTATGTCTAAAACACTTTGTTTAACTTTGATACATCTTGCCCAAGGATACTTCAATATGTGAACCATTTGGTAGAGAAACTGCTCAACCACAGCCGCCCTGTGTCTTCCTTATTTGCTTCAGCTATATTTATTTTTTGTGAAGTTAAATCATTTTAGTGCTTGCCAGAAGGGGAGATAAAAGTTGTTATGCATGGCCAGAAATAGAAAAACTTTCCTAAACTCCTGCTGCTCAAGAATGCTTTTATGAACATGAAGATCATTCTGAGGAATCGCCTGCACATGTGTCATTTGTCTTTCTCGGTACACCAATACAGGCTTTTACTACAATTTTTCATATGAAATGTAAACTGTGAAGTAGCGATAAGAGCAGTTATTTCCTTTTGAATTAAAAATAACCTTACAATCAAAGAAAAAGCATGTGTAAGCAGGAGCTTCTGTTGTTTTGCGTGCAGACGAGAGGATTATTTGTGCAAAAAAAAGATGTGAAACTGCATTTACTGTTCTTACATCATGAAAGCTGTTGATGCTCCCTGAAGATCCTGCACACAAGTTAGTGAACAGTTGGACAGATCCAACCTGACAAACAAAAAACACAAATAAAGTTCAGATAATGAAGAACTTCCTCTTTCAGCTGCACTCTTTAGGGGTCACTACCAAATTTGATCATCTGCCTCCATCTCACCCTATCCCTAGCATCCTTCTCTACCAACTGTGCATGTGCTTCTTCATTATATCCATGAATCATTTCTGTGGTCTTCCTCTTTTTATTCTGCCTGCCAGATCCACATTCAACACCCTTTGTCCAATATATCCCACTGTCCAAACCATCTCAGCTTTGCCTCTCTAACTGTGTCTCCAAAAAACCCAAATTGAGCTGTACTTCCTAATGAAAATGCTAGCACTGCCAATTCTGCCACCTCCAGCTCAGCCTCCTGTCTGTTAGTGAGATTATGAAGACGAAACCTTTCCCACAAGTTAATACACAGTCAGCATTGGAAGTCACTAGAAGGAAAAAGACATTTACATTTTCTTTTTTTTAACAGTTATTCACAAAATAGCTTAACAAATCTTAGCTTGGGTGTAAATTCTGTTTCCGACGGACCCTGAAAGCAGCAAATCCTACCCGATGATGTGTTCAGGGTCGTTTGTGGTGTCATTTCTCAAACAGCAACGCCCGTCTATCCGTCCAGCGGATAAGAAGCAAAAGTGACCGACCTCAGAGCTGTTTAGGATGGTCCCGCCACACAGGTTACATACCTGTGGTTACACGTCATAACAAAGAGGGGGGGCACCTGTAAACAACAATCTTGCTGGCCATTTCCTTTCTGGCACATACAGCTACACCAGAACCTGTTGTATTATTAGTAATATATATGCGCCACAGAGTTATTGAAGTAAAGACTACAGTTATTGCATTTAGAAAGCCCAGCCTTACCTGCAGCTCGGTCAGCTGATAACTTGCTTGGAAAAATAAATTAAGGATCAAAACAAGCGCCACAAATCTCATCCAGCTACATAAAGCTTTCATTTTTAGCAACTGGAGTCACATGATCAGGCCGCAGCAGGGCACGTGACAGGAAGCGCGTCCAGCATTTTAGGACGTTTGCAGGATTTTATGGGATTTTAACTATCATTACCTGCTTCTGTACGCTCTCTGTTACACACAATCACAAACAATAGTATAAAAACATGCCGTAAGCATTTCTAGCTGTAGAAAAAAGGTCAAATAAGAAATATTACAAAATATAAAATATTTTTAATATTCAAAACATTTGAAGTAGTTTTTCACGTCTTCGAATATTTTTTTTAAATATAACGTTTAACTGTGTGTGTTGTAAAACTAGCGGAAAAAAACATTTTTGACTAATGAATTTTGACTGCGCGTTCACTGTCAGTTCGGATTGGACCAACTAACGGATTGGATCAAATAACGTGCGGACTTCAAGTAAAATTAATTCTAATACAAAAAATACCTTTTGTGTTATGTTTACAAAATATTGTGCCATAAAGTAAAATAACTGTATGTCTTGGGGGTGAATTTGTGTTATTTTAATTGCATAAACTGCAGTATACACCCGTGTGCCGAAGATAAGATGGTTTGACCCAAAACCTTGATCTGCCAATACGTACGCTGAACACAGAGTGGTTGGACGGTGGGGTAGCCTCTGGTTTCTTACGCGATATTTGCCACATTTGCTCTATGTATATACCTTGTCGCTGTTTAAACTTTTTTCAGCAAAGGTAGGACGTCGGGAAAGCAGGAAACGTTCAAGTAAAACTGTCCGCTCATATATTTCGAAAGGTTTACCATACGGGCTGTGCGGCGCTCTTGGGCTTGCAAGAACCAACTGCACCTTTTATCCAGCAACTTCATCTGGTTACGCTAATGAACTGAATTCACTGCACAGCTTGAAACTGAGTTTTGGTTTTTTTTTTGTTTTTTAACAAATAGGTGATTTTAAAGGTTTTCTTACAACTTGCCTAAAGTGAGTTAATAGGATATTGTAATGCTAACAGTGAAGGTGTAATTACACTTGCAACATGGCTGCTACTCGAACGGCAGAGGGAAAAGTTTAACACTGACGTGGGAGAAGCTTAACGTCAGTGCGACTTGGTACGCGAGTTGTTGTCCACATAATAAAGTCGTAAGCAGTCGCCCCGTAGTCCGGCAACAGTATCCCCCCGGACTCTCAAACCAGTGGCTGAACCGAGAGAGAGACGCCTCCTCCTCCTCTTCGTCGTCCTCCTCCTCCTCCGTAGTCACCGACGTTAGTCACTGCAGTGGACTTTGTGGGGAAACTGTGGTGTCTTCCTCTCCATCGCAGACTGTGGTGGCGTTAAAGGACTTATCATCTGGGAGCTGCTTGTGTTTCGAGCTAAGATGCATTTTTCCATACCCGACACAGAGGTTCGTTCGGGAGAAAACGGTTCGACCTACGTGGTAAGCACGACGTTTCTTTTTTGTTGTTGTTGTTGTACCCGCTTTAACCACAGACTGTTAATGCTTGTTTCAGCTGCCCACATGTCGAGCTAATGTCAGTGCGGCACGGGCTCCAGTGTTTACTGTGCACAAATTATTGGGAAGGCGGAACTGCTGGGTTATAAATCAGCTATAAACATTACTGTGTAATCATGCCATTTATGCTTGGCATAGGTGAATAAAAACTTGATTTGTTGTATTAAAATTTGAGCAAATTGGGCAAAAATTATTTTAGCATGATTCTTTGAGACATCAACAGAAAAGTAATGTGGCTTTTATCATGTTCAACACAGTTTCTGCCACTTTACCTTCATCTGGCGGAGAAAATTAGTTCTACAGTATAAACGTATAGCATCATTATGCCATGTCTGAAGTTTAACACACTGTGATTTACCCTCAAAGCTTTATGCACAAACTTGCATGTGTCCCAGTCTCTTTATAGGCTCAAATCAGCCACAACAAAGTCTCTTTTGTTTTAAAGGTTTGAGCCAGCACCTAAATTCTTAGTGAGATTTGAGGTTTGCTTACCATGATGTTGCCATCTCCCGTGTTATTTAGAAAAAGAGAATACAGCCAGCATTGCTTTAACTTCATCCCTTAACTAGCAGTTATATATATCAGTCTAAACTATGGTAGTCTTCAAAGCACATTGGGAGCTGCAGCATAATCTTTATGTTTATTTTCTTCTTTCTGTTTCTTATTGTGTTTAATGTTGTTTGAAACATGAATTACCATTGTGCTTTGCTGTGTTCTGAAGGTAGCCTTTGTGAAGGTTGATCAAGGACAGCCGTAATAGCACCATTTTCTTTGCTATTTATGAAAAACCCAGTGACTGACAGTCAGGATACATTGTATTAATGTTTGCCAGATGTAGTGTTTATTTCTCAAAGTTTGCATCAACTCAAAAGATTTCTTCCTTGTGTTGCTTGATTATTTGGACAGAGACGATAAATATGATCTATTGGTGATTGCAAGTTGCCAGAAAACTGCTTGGGTTCAAGTTGAGATGGATAATGATTTTAAAGATGTCATTATGAATTGTGCTTCCATTCCTCATCCATTTTCTTATTTGTTCCTTGCAGTAGGCCTTTGCAGGTTTATGGCATAAGTACAACAGTTTCATTACTTCTGAACACAGAGTAGAAAAAAGGTTTGCATCTGACTCAGATGTGCAAGAGCTCCACTGCCAGGAGTGGGACGTCATTGTTTAGCAATGTGCGACTGTCAGAAAACCTTGACAGCATCGATGAATGGAACTGGAAAGCTCAGAGCTCTGATGGATCAGATCATTTGGAACCTGTTCTCGGTTCCCAAGTTTGCTTCTCATGTGTTGATGTCGTGCAACAAATAATTAATAATTCAGGATTTTTATAGAAAACAGTGTCTATAGTATTTATTAAAAGTGTTTTTGTGTCAGGTCCCTTTGTCCTGTGTGTGTGTGTGTGTGTGTGTGTGTGTGTGTGTGTGTGTGTGTGTGTGTGTACTTAAAAAACACAAACACTGCATCATGTATGTGTGTGTGTGTGTACTTAAAAAACACAAACACTGCATCATCTGATTTTAATGTAACATTACTCTGGCTGCTCTCAGTGTCATACACCTGTAAATGAGTATTTTCCATTTTGACTGTGTATTTGGAAGAAAGTCTTGGAGTAGGTATAATAATGTTTGAATTGGCACAGAATTAGGAAATAAACATAAAAAGCTTTGCAAGAGAAGTAGTGGACATGTCGAATAATTCAGAATTATTTCCCTCTTTACAATGTTCTCCACACGTTCCTCACTGATGTCGTTCTCTGACGTATCTCTACTTAACCAAGCACATTTTTAGCCTGTACTCCAGTAGGAAAAGCAAAGGCCTTTCACCTCTCAGCTGGGAGTCCTGTGACTGTCACTGTGACCTTCCCATAACCAGCTGAAAGGAAGGGACTTTGCTTGATTGTAACACTGAGAGATGGGTTGTGTACCTTGGAACCAGTAAGCCGCAGAATTTGCCACGTTTGCAAAGGGCTTTCTTAGAATTAAAAAGGCCTCTTTTTTATGGCAGTGTTCCTGGGTTGTTGTTTTTTTCCGCTATTACACTTCTGCCTTTTTTTCAACCTAATTTTTTTTAGTGTTTGTGGATATGAGAACAAGAGACTTTGGTGTTATATTAAGTGACGATAACGCATTTACTCAGGATGAGGAACAGGTTTAGACTTAGCTCTAAACTAGTTCATTATTCATTATTCAAAGTCTGTGTTACTTTGGTTTTTGTTTTGTTTTTTGAAACCATGAAAGCTGTGCTCAACAGTGTAGCTGTGTCAGTTGGCTCCATGTACTGAGCCAGATGTATAAACTTAGAGACACAGAGAGGTTCCCTAAAATGTGCTAACAGTAGCAGGTATCTTGGAAATCCTCTCACAGATACTGGTTCACAAGATTAGATCACATGGTTTTAGGGGTTAAAGTGGGCAGTGATGAAAAAAGTAAAAACACTGACAGTTTTGTTTCTAACAAGGGCGTCTCATATTAAATCTGGTCTTTCTCAGGACTGAACATTCAGTGTTTTGATCTGATTACAGCAATGGGATCAGACAGCATCTCACTCCTTTATTAAGAAACTTTATTATGACACAAATTTTAGATTAGCAGCTGGATTATGAAATCAAAAGCTTTTAAACATGATGAGGAACTAGGATCAAAATGTAACACTATTTAATACATTTGTAAGAGTTTGGGGTGCAGAAACAAAGATGAGTGTGGGAATATGGAGGAAAACATCTACAGCCTCTTGAACTGTCCCCAAGTTGAACTGCTTGTAGCCACCAAAAAAAAACTCGGGTATTTTTTTTTTTTTGTTGTTGTTGCACTTTTGCATTTTTAGAGCCAAGACATTCTGCATACTCATTCTTCCTTCCTGTCAGGATCCTGCCTACACAGACATATTTTTTTTTTGTCCAAGCCTTCCTCTTTTGCAAGAACAACTTTTGGCGTGATATTCTTGTTTTTCCCTTTGATTGTTTGTGCAGTTCAGCAAGAGAATGTAACATGTGCAGTCAGAAACTGTAAAATTCCTTTTGTGTGGACAGATGACCCGCCATGTTGACTGCAAGAATTAATTGAGATAGAAAGGGAAGAGGATTAAAGCACTACAGCAGTTTATGTCTTGATATCCAAATATGAAGTCTTCTCAGTGAGCTTGTTGTTCCCTTATCACTGTGCACAGCCTGCTGGAAGCTGATTGGGTTTCTTTGGGGGGGGGGGGGTTTAGCATATGAAGGAGGAAATAATAATTCTCAAATTCTTAAGAATAATTCTTCACACAATACTAATAGGATTATTCCATGTAGGTTGTTCTGTAATTGATGCATTACATTTTTATGTATATTTGGTTTACTATCGTACTTAATGACATGAAAAATTTCTTCCTTGCTTTCTGTGGCTGGCTCTCAACATGAAGGCAAGCAGATTTTTGGTCTGCTAGCTCCAAGTGGTTGTTTTGTGGAGGAGTTTTCAGTGACAGCTCCTGTCAAAACAAGCAAAGTGTCTCCAGAGAAGGAGTTAAAGATTCCACATGAAATACTTTCTCTCTATATTAAATGTCTGGATGA